AAAATTGTGAAACCAACAGAACAAAAAGGTCACCATTCAAGGTTGTCGAACATTTTTTAAAGAATTCACAAAAAGACTCAAACACCTGACGGATGTAAATTTTTTTAGAGGCTAGTTCATGTTAATATAGCTGTCCCAAATAATCCTCATGTTAAACAAAGGGGAGACGCTTTCTTTCCAGCATGATTAGACCTCTGGGTTTACATTATATATTTACACATTAGCCCAATGACCACCAGGAAGACCCATATTTCATTGAAACGACTTGGACTAGATGAAACCAAGAAAATTGGGGAAATCAAGATCTCACTAGGTTGATGATACTTCACTGGTACGTTACGTATTATGTTTTGCTATACGCGTACTGCACACGCGATACAAGCAGCAACGACGAATAACCATTTTAATGTGATCTTTTGAGGTCAAAATATCCAAGTGTTTTACATCATAGACGATCTGATTGCATCTTAGCAGAGTCAGTATTCACATTAAGTTGTATAGCATCCTGCAGTCACGTTTCTCAGCATTTACCCTATGGGCTGAAACAGTGCGCCCCATCAGTTTTCTGGTGGGAACAGCATAAAAATCTTGCCGATCGATCTGCACTTGAACCACATCTATGAAGATCCCACTGCGATGCTATGGAATTTCATATCTGCCGTCGTGCCTCGCCCGTCGTGCAGAATTTGATGCAAACAAGTCAAAACGTTTTTACAGTATGCAAATTAGAATTAGACTAAGTGGGTAAGTTGGCATGAACTTTTTGTTGAAAGTGTCCCCCCCCAAAAAAAAAAAAAACAAAAAAAAAAAAACACCTGGTTGAATTCACAGAAAGGCGACATTTTCTTGTCAAGGGGCAGGATAGTCTAACATTATTGGCATTAATTATGGGACTAGTATTGCAGGTGGGATTTGCTCTTGCCTTATTGGGAAAAGATCTTTAGAAGTGAATGGAATCATCTCACCGCGATCTCACCGCGATGGGCCACGCTCTCCCGAATTTTCGATACATAGTAAGATTATGTTTGAGTGTAATGGGGGTTTAAAGTAGGCAAATACAGGTTTGTTCGTTAGTCGCCTTTAATTCTTAGACCTTCCATTGAAAATTCGCCAGAACGACTTACAGAGAATTTTTGAAAATGATAAATTGTAAATTGTAAATGAAATGTAAATCAATAGAATATGCAGCGTTAGGTTGTCTGAGTATTACCATCTTTTGGTAGAACAACGCTCTGTATCCTGGTGATTATGTCATTCTTGGTCACCTCTGCGTAGAACACACCCGTCCTGTCCAGACCTCCTTCCTCTGGCAATTGAAGCAATCTCACTGTACATCCCAACGATGAATCCACTATCTCGCCTGAACCTGATGGAAGTCCAGTTGTGACTTGGCGACCGAATGAGACATTGGACGCAAAATCGTCTGGTTCTCTGTACACTGCGATGACTGAATCGCTATCTCCAGTTGGACCAATGAGAGCAGGGCTGACAACCACAGTGAAATCCACAGAGTTAACTGCAAAGGTAAAACAAACAAATCTTTGTAATTGCTGGGTGCTTCTGATGAACCGTATTAATTTAAAAATAAAACAAATGAAAATAATGGAACAATGAACAGTGGCTGACTGATGACCGTTTACAGAGCAACACCTTAATTGACGACAATCAGGATTTTCGGTTATGGACAGCTGATCACTACTCCTTAATTTACTAGCAGGTGAATATAATTCTTTCAATGGATTTTTAATGAACATTAGTGTCAAGTTTACCTTTTTGATTGAAATCACACGCAGCTACTGTCACCTCGCACAGTCCAAGGCTTGCCATTCCGGGTATATCGACGCTGACATAGCGGGCAAGTACAGGCGGATGACAGGTAAACTCTGTAAAGTCGTTGGGTGAAGGTTGGGGTTGACTGGTTTTACACTCCACATTACTCGTGTGATTATCACTCAGACCTGCACGTAGAGATGCACGCTGCAAAGCGGCCCCTAGATAATCGAGATTATTTTGTAATTTAGATTAGTAATGACCTTTACAGCTTAAAAACAGATTTACAGTGGGCCAATTTTATGACCTCTTGGTGACATTGTCGTCTACGACATACCGCATGTTTATCAGTGAAAAGAATTGATTCAACTTTGTGCCTTATTTTTTTCTTTATAAAACTAAGACAATTTAGCCATTCTTATTTGTGGAGAGGCTGTCACGTTTCTGGTCTAAAACGGTTGACAAAGCACAGGCTTGCAAGGTGGCACATACTTAAACAAAGTTAGAGCCTGAAAAACAC